AACCGTGCAGCGTGAAACTATACACTGTACAGGAAGCTCTGAATGTGTCTTCGTGATTTCTTAGTTGGCCGCGTGCTCACCCGGGCTGCCCTTGCGACACGTCTCACCAAGGCTCCAGGAATGTGACAATATAATGTCTTAATGCCCGGAACCTTGATTTGCAATGCCATGTGAACACTGCATACCCAAACGGAAGAGCTCCATGGTTGAGACTGCGAACCCGAGGCCCCAGACCCACTGAAAACACTCCGAACCCATGGCCTTGGGCCTTCCAGGATTCATGGGGTTCCCCTCCTCAAAACGATGACAGGGATGCGATGACAGGGATGAATATTGAAAAAAAGCTTCCATAAAACACACAGCATCTTTGCAGTGCAGGAGCATCACGGCAGGATGCATGCCACCCAACTTCTGAGAAGCCTCGCAAGTGGCTGACCACTATACTGACTTAGCTCTGCTACAAGTAGGATGGTCGAACCATGACGACACACTCAGCAACAAGTATCATCTTTCCGATTTTGAAAAACTCGGTTGAACTCTCCAATCCGTAACATTCCAGACACAACAAAGTAGGCGGCATCTATAGACGCGAGACCACAAAGTAGGTGTCACTTATAGACTTGGGTCATTATTATGGGATGTGAATCCCTTCGGGGTCTAGCGGAGTGACAATGATGCCCGCAGGTGTTGGCCGGTGCTACCGGGGCTTGGTGCCTTCCTGCCTCCGGCAAATGATGCCCAGAATTCACCTCTTCGAAACGATGATCTCAGTTCGTGTATTAAGTACCGCTACGTTGCAAACAAAATAATCCCCGAACCTGTGCGTAGGGAAAATCAGAGGCCGATTGATGACTCGTGCATCAAGACAAGATTTTGACTACGTTTGGGAGACAGCGGATGCCTTACACCGTCTATGTGTTTATCAGAGGTGCTGCTTGCTATGCTTGTTACAAGAGTTAAACGGCTCTGCTTGGATGTTAGATGCTCACCCATGACTCTCGTCTTCCGCCAAGAGCTGCTTTCGATGACAATAATTGGCCTTCGTCGTTGTTGGTGCCATCGTCGCACCAGAGCCGTTGCAGTGGTCATGATGATGCTGCTCGAGAATGATGCGGATGGGTTATCATTGCACTGGGAAGAAGGAGGCGCATGACGGCGATGGTGTTTCTCCATGCAAATGTGATGAAGATGACGATGACGATGTGGAAGAGGGTGACGATTATGATGGCGTTGGCAACTTTGCCGTCGCTGCTAAAGGCTAAAAGTGATGACGGCGATAGTTGGGAGTGATGATGGCGACGACGATGTTGAGCTAGTTAAAGAAGGGTCACTTCACCTCACCGAACCCCAGGCTTCCGGGTTCACAAACCTACAAGGAAGCGCCTCGGACTGGTCACGGCGTAGCAGGCGTTCGGCAGTCGCCAAGTGTCCCTCCTCCTGGAAACAAATCTTCAGCGAAGCCTAGTTTTAGCAGGCATATCAAGTCTGAATCACGAGGTCCACACCCCGTCCAATCTCTCCACCACGCAGCATGGTAGGAATCTCATGTAAGCACTTTACAGCCTCCGTGCGGGGAGTCTCTTAACATGGCCCCAAGCTGAGCTGGAATGACGGTAATTATGGTGATAGTCTCTGCAGATCCAAGTCACCTACCCTTGATGATCAGAAGATCTCCATTGAGACTGGTACCTTTAGCCATCTCCTGACTCTATACACTGTTATCTTTCGAAGCGACAACGTAGCTCCCAGGAGCTGAGGCACCTCTTTTTGACAGGCACGCTGAAGTCGCTCCCCTCACCAGGAAGGCCGGCTGCAAGAGCTTCATCAGTCAATTCGGCCCCAGCTTCCGCGTCTTCAGCGTCCCGGACAGTGTCGGCAGGCCCCAACTCTGAGAGAGCATGGCTCTCCGAATCTTCGCCGAGAGGAGGCCGACTGAGGGTCGGGGTGGGGCGTTCAGCAATCTGGGCGATCTCCTCACGGAACGGCTTCAAGTTTCCGGTGCCTATCGGGTCGATGATGGCAAAGACCACCTGGGAAGTATAGGAAAAGGAACAGGGCTCGGTCACCCTAAACCCTGACCCTAAACCCTAAACCCTAGACCATGACCCTAAACCCAAGTTGAGAAGAGACCCCAAACCCAAGTTGAGAAGACTTTCAGAAATCTTTACCTGGCCGAAGGCTCCCCGAAACGCCGGGGACGCGAGCTCTTCGCGAAAGATCGCCGCCGTGGGCCGTGCCGGGTTCCCAAAGGCTCCACATCCGAAGGCTCCCAAAACGAGGTTGGCATGGCCAGACCTGAGATGGAGGGGACCTTCATATGGTGTAGTCTAGCCTAATGTAGTATAGTATATGGTATATAGCATAGTACACACTAGTCTAGTGTCATATAGTCGAGTATATATATATATATACACAGACACACATATATAGTCTTTTTATAGTACAATCCATCTAGCTGGGACTTATAAGAGCATGGGCTTGTGGGTTAAGGGGGGTTTGGGCTTACAGAGGTTTACAGCCTCCGGCTTTGGGGTTTCCGGCTGGGTTGGGTGGTTGGGTTCTGCAAAGGGGGGAAAGTGCGATGGAACGCGCACATGCAGATTCGTTCGAACTGCTGATCCTCAAGTTCCGGGCAACACTCACCTGCGGAAACACTTCTACGCTGCCGCTTCAATCCATTGACTGTCATACAGATTCACCTCACAATTCAAAGAAGGCACTGGTGTAGAAAGTGTGGAGTCCCACAAAGGCTCAGAAATTGCCCGCTGACCGCCAACCCCAAGCTCCGACCAGACCCTGCAATCCCTACCAGAGCAAACCCTGATGAGCCAAACCCCGACAAGCCTAAACCCCCTGCAATCGCCGGATCGCCCGATCCCAAGTTCTGCCTGATTGAAGTATCCGATCCAAAAGCGAATCCTGACCCTTTGGCAGCTGAGCCCAGCAGCTGCTTGGCGGCATGGAGCACCGAGCGGATACGCAGCGACACGTCCGCAGCCCACGGTGACTTGGCCCAACCGCCCTACCAAGGGGCATTCAGGGATCAAGCGTAGGGCCTACGGGTCGTGCGCTTTTTCAAGAACTGCCGGTTGAAGGGCTGTGGGGTTCAGGTGCAGGGTTTGGAGTTTACGCTCCGGAGTGCTGGTCTCGCAAGGATGGCGGAGGCCTTCGACTTGCATGTCTTGATTGGCGCTCTCGTTCTCTATCTCACGTACATACAGACCCCGAACCAGAAAATCCTGAATACATATGATGCAAGAAACAGGGTGCATATAAAGAAGCATTTCATAGCTAGGTAGATAGATAGATAGATAGATAGACAATATAGATAGATAGATAGGTAGATAGGTAGATAGGTAGACAGGTAGACAGGTAGGTAGATGGAGAGATATAGACAGATAGATAGATCTTGGCAGAATGATAGCTTGGTTGATGTTGGGCATATTTATTTCACTATTTATTCATTTATTATGCATACACGCAGCTACACATCCGTGTGTATACAAGCCAGACTAATCATGCGGAGCCTTTCTGGTTGCCGTCTAGACTATTCAATACTCATTGGCCGCTGCACGGTCTTCACGGGCGGAAGGATTCCTTTTGGGCATTGGGAAACTCCGCCGAAGGCCTGGGGAGTATATGGATCCCGTTTATAGGTCCGTGGCTGAGGGTTCCAGGTGTAGGTCTGTCGTCGCCAGTTTGGGGTCAAGACAGGAGGGGATATAGGATGAACTTCAGAGCAAAATCATGGGCAAAGTGAATCCTGCTGCACGCAAGGCTCCGTGATCAATAATCATCAGTCAATAAACGTCGGATCGGTCCACACCCTGCGCATGAAACATTGAAATCCTCAACACCCTCCACCTATGACCAAAATCCGATGTTAAATCTCCGCATTGTGTGCTACAACTCCCCACTGCCAGAATGTGAGTCTTAAAGGCGTAGATAGTGTTTGCTTAGCGATTGCATTCAAAACGTTATTCTGTTCACTCTTCTTAAGTCTTCTGGTCTCAATCTGAGGAAAAGAGTAATTTTGAGGGCGAGACATCGTCTTATTCTGTTCACATCGACTATGTCAATCAACCAAGTGATTTCACTGCTATAATGCACTGGACTCCTAAAGTACTATTGGTCCACATGACAATGATGTTGCATTGGTTACTGGGGAGAGGGTCCAGCTCCTAACTGGCACCTTCGGTCGCCGATCAGCAGCACCGCAGGGCATCGCAGCGGTTCTGGAAGAGTCGTTCGCGTGGGTTCGGACCAGGTTGCGGGTTCAGGGTTCATTTCGGGGATGAGATGCTTGAGCGGCTTAATTAGGGGCTAAATGGCCTGTAATTAATTAGTTCGAGAACAAGGCGAAGTATCGTGTCATCCAGAGAACATACCTTGCAGTTGCATTGCTGCTTGAGCCATGGGCCCTGTTATAAGGCCTTGCAGGTTGCGTTAAGGCGAAGGAACCTGCTTCAGCTTGCAGGCGTAACAGTGTGTGCTTATAATGTGAGCGTATGTGAACTTCCATCATTCTAGGAGTGGCTTTTATCTGGGCATCGTTCGGTTCCAAGTGCTCTGTTTCGGTTTGCAGACCTTATACAGCAAACAGGAAAGCCGTGCTCAAAAGCCTCTCAGGCACAGCACGGTAACGGAGCCGAGACCTGGATACAACGCTACAGTGCTGCAAACACTTATTATATTATACTATATTATACTATATTATACTATATTACACTATATTATTATACTATACTATACTATATTTACTATATTATCATGTTATACTATACTATATTATGTTATATTATTCCCAGGAAGCTTTCCTTCCGGGGAGACTGAGCTGGGGGTCTTACTCATGACTTTGGACAGCATGCACCACTCTCTCTTTTCTTTACGCCCATGCTTCTATTTAGACGTCGTGGTTTGAACAAGGGATACTGTAAGCTACTATGACGCAAAAAATACAGCTGCGTCCCAAAACAAAGCCAGAAACTGGGGCAGGGCGCGTAGGTGCCAGGCTTCCTTAGAGCCAGAAGGTCTCGAGCTACCAGAACTGTTCCCGGAGGGATCCTGAAGCTGGAGGTGCTCAAGGAAGTGCAGGTTTTCGGAGTTAGGTGTTGGGGACAGTGGGGTTGAGAAGGCATCACTGGCTACAGATAGTTAAACTGAGAGATGCAACCACAACATCTGCAACTGTGCCTTGGAAAGAGACTGGCATCAGACAGACAAGCCTTCCCCCAACATCCCCATACCAAGAAACTTTGCACATTTATACCCGACAGTTCTGAGTAACCTATTGGGCCTGCGGGTTTACTGCAGGGGGTACACATTTCAGCTCCAGGATCGGATATGGTGTGGCTTTGAGGGCCGGGTAGAGCTGCGGCAGCAAGCGGCAGAGATCCTCCTCCTGCCATGCAGAAATCCGGGCTCTCGATCAAAATTAGGGTCCCTGCCGTGTGAAAATGGTACATCACTCTTACAAAGAAGACTTCTAGGCAGACCCAAACTAGAGCCTAATCTAGACTAAGCATATCTCAAAAGGTCGCTTAGCAGGGTTTCATATTCCGGGTCTCTGTGGGTTAGAACTCATGCGGATTGAGAAGAATGGTTGGAAGAAGGTACGCTTCTCTCGTTGGACTCCCATGGTTTCCTTCCCACTGAGCAGCCGGAAGCAAAAACGAAGCTCAGGGAGTTCCATGGTTCAGGGCTGATTGGATCCAGCGCAGGCTTAGCGGGAATCCCCAACCTTCAAAACAATATTTGATCCTTGACACCATGTGAAGCGTCCAGTCTCTAGCATTGACTAGCCCGCTATAGTCACACCACTCGCCGCCGACGAAAATAGGCATGGAATGGGGGTGGTTGGTGAGGGGGTTCAATGGCTCAGGGTAAGGGTTGCAAGTTAGAGCTTGGAAAAAGTCCCGGAGACTTAGTGACCAGCTAGAGTGCTAGAGATCCGATGTATTGGGACGGACGTCTTCTTCTAAGAGCCATACATCGAAGCTCAGGAAAACCATCTCGTCTTTTGGTTGCTTTCGGGTCCAGAAGCTCTTTTCTTGAACACACGATGAGCCCTACTGAAACCGAAAAAACCCTGAGAGCCCCCAAGTTCCGGGTTTAGGATCCAGTCAACTTCGATCCTGTGCCAGCCCGCCGCTGCGGTAGCGCCCACCCGGGATGTCGGCGTTGGCGAAGCTAAGAGCAGAAGCATCTCCTCCGTTTCGGATTTAGCTACAGGGGCTTCGGGTGTACGTTCTTTCTTTGAGGGTTTAGGGTGCGGAAGGTGCACGGCATTTGAGGTGCACGCGTCATGTCAGCAGAGGTGTCCGAAGTGATGGGCATGCTCACTGGCATGGGTGGGCATAGTGACCAGGTGTAAGGTCTTTCACACGGGGCTTAGGGGCTTCGGGTGTGTGTGTGTGTGTG